AGTAATATTCAGTTGATTTCATATGTCATGAGCAATGGAGTTTGTCTCAAAATTCGCCGTGAGATCATTATGCATGCCGTTAAACATAGTATAGAGCTTGCATCGAGCTACCTTGACCCAATTCTGATGGGTCTCCGTCTCACAATGATGTTGGGCATTAGTCCTTCTTTTAGATCGGATCTTAAGGGTGGTCAATTTTTCTATGACTTCCTGTTCATTAAGCAAATATTAGATTTCATCTTTGGCGAGGTTAGTAACAACATTCTTAAAGGCCGTTTGACTACATTGATTGCACAAGGTTTGACATTAGCACACTTTTAAAATTTTGTTCCCAAAAAAACACAATTGGCATACAATATTTCTACTTACATAGAGAGATCGAAAATTTCGCTAAGCTCATAATCATCTCCTCCTATGTGAGCTAAAATATGGCACCCAATTAATTTTGAATAAAATTGTGTAAGAGGAAAAACCATCTCCTATTTCCATAACATCAAATCATGCATAATATATGTGAGTCCAAAAATGAGCCATACAATTTTGTGCGTAGGCTCCACTTGAAGCCTTGTTGGTAATATGGTGCAACATGTTAAGGTAGCCTTGAAATGTATTGGTGACAACTTCCTCTTACATGGCTATGGAAAAATACATCCAAAAAATAAATAAATAATTACAACCCAAAAGAATCCTAATACATTGATTTTAATTAAAAAAAAAAAAATTAGCACGGGGATACCTGTTATGACCCAACCACCGGATGCTTAAGGCTGGAATCTCTATTTATTAATTCTAATTGAACCAATTAAGTGACGCGAGTGGAAGTGAAATAAAAGTAAGAAAATAATTAAATAGATAATTAACTTCATTAACTACCCTACTATTTAAATAAAAAGGAAATTCATCCATTGGCTTTTATTATTTTATTATTCGGTGACAGACAATAAAACGAAGAAAAGGTAAGAAAAGGAAAAATAAAATAAAGATGTCAGCAACAAGTTCGGTGCTGGTTCACTACACGAGGTCATAATCCTTCCTTATATTTCATCACCTGAAAGGGGTAACAGCTATAAGCACATAGCAGAGTGAGAGATATTATGCTAAGGGCATAGGGGCGTAAAATAATTATGGATAGTTATTTAACTAAAACATTAAACATAACTTAATTTAAATAAACAAATTATGTAAGTGACAAAGACTAAAATCCAGAAATTATGTAGGTAAATAACCATAACCATGGTATAGAATATAACTGAACAGAGGTCACTTGAGTGACAATTAGAATAGAGGTTAATGGATCCATGATAAACAGAAGGCCACAAAGTGGCCACTCAGAGGTTAATGGTTATTTAAGTTCCCCAAAGCATGGGACTTCCATGGTGGTACTTACCAAAAATAAATATTTATATAATCATTGTCAAATAATTTCTAAAATTTAAATAATCATATCCATGGGTTGTCATTTAAGCAAATGGAGTTCAGAAAAATAATTAACATACTTGAAATCTAAATATAAGTTATAGAACAAAACTTATATAAAATAAATTATGGTAACTCAAAACATATGTAAAATATATTATGGTAACTCAAGATATAATATAACTCACTTTAATTTTGATTCCTACTATTTTCTTTCTATTTACGCTAGCTTTTCAAGGCCCTTTTTCCTTAATCCTTCTTCTTGTGAATTTTTGTTTTTTTTTGTTTTTTTTTTGTTTTATTTTGTTTTGTTGGCCTTCGATTATCCCCTTATATACTTGAGCTTTACACGGTGACTCACCCCTTAATTATTATCCTCTTGGATGATTCACTCCTCTACATAATAGGCTTAACAGGTGGCTTTTTCTTTAGGTTACCATCGAATTGCACACCTTTCACCATATTTCCTTTTTGGCCCCAACTTTTATCATAATTTCGTTGTTGTATTCTTTTCGCCCCAAATAATATATTAATCGCACTTTTAATAAATCAATGCTGAATTAGATTACACCTTAGCATGTACAGCTACGTAATTATTTATATTTTATATTATTATTCTTAGTTAGTATTTTTTTTAATTAATTTTTTGTAGTAACGTGTTGTTAATTAAATATTTGGGGTGTCACATTTCTCCCCTCCTAAATAGAAGTTTGTCCTCAAACTTGACGTACCGTAGTTTTCGAAGAGTTGTGGGTATTTGGTCCGCATTTGACTTTTCGTTTCCCACGTAGCTTCTTCGACTCGATGATTTCTCCATAAGACTTTTACAAGAGGTATAGTCTTATTTTGGAGAACTTGATCACGACGACCGAGAATCTGCATTGGTTGTTTTTCATAAGAAAGATCTTCTTGAACTTCTAGGTTCTCATAATCGATAACACGCTCTAGATCTCGAACATATTGTCGAAGCATCGAAATGTGAAACACATTGTGGACATTAGACAGTTCAGGTGGCAGTGTAAGGAGATATGCCACATGACCAATCCTTTCCAGTATCTCGAATGGCCTGATATAACGTGGGTTTAACTTTTCTCATTTTCCAAATCAAATAACCCCTCTTGTTCGTGAGATCTTGAGGAAAACATGATCTTTTATTCGGAATTCCAATTCCTGCCTTTGTGTATCTACATAGCTTTTTTGGCGACTCTAGGTAGTGCGAATTCGCTGTTGGATGAGTTGAATTTTATCACTTTATTTGTACGATTTCAGGGCGTAATAACTTTCTATTTCCAACTTCTATCCAAAACAGAGGTGATCGACACCTCCTTCCATCTAGTGCTTTGTATGGTGACATTCCAATGCTTTCTTGGTAACTGTTGTTATAGGCAAATTCCACCAATGGTAGGTGCTCATCCCAAGTACCCTTGAGGTCTAGCGCGCAGACATGTAACATATCTTCCAAAGTCTAGATTGTTCTTTCAGATTGTCCATCAGTTTGCGGCTGATAAACAGTACTAAGCTTTAGTGTTGTTCCCAAAGCTTCCTGCAATTTGTTCCAGAAGTGAGATATGAAGCGGGGATCTCGGTCAGACATGATTGAAACTAGGATACCATGCAATCGAATGATTTACTTGATGTACAAAGTAGCAAACTTCTTGAGGGAGTACGCGATATTGATTGGTAGAAAATGCGCTGACTTTGTCAATCGGTCTACTATAACCCATATTGCATCATTTTGCAAGACTAACTGTAGTAGCCCAACCACGAAGTCCATAGTAATGTGCTCTCATTTCCATTCAGGAATAAAGAGTGGTTGCAACGTTTCTGTTGGTCTCTGATGCTCTGCTTTAACATGTTGACAATGCATGCACTTGGAGATGTGGGTTGCTATGTCTCTTTTAATTCCTGTGCACCAGTAGTGTTCCTTTAAATCGTGATACATCTGCGTATTGCAAGGTGAGCCGTAAACCTCGAGTTATGAGTTATGGAATATTAGGGCACGCAAATTTGATTTTGAAATTTTAGCATCCCATTACTTATAGTGAAATTAGGATCGGGCAAACTTCTTTGCTTCTTATATTTTTTCTTCTTAAGTTTATCTTCACATTGGCGTGCTCTAATTTCTTCAATCAATGTAGGTTCCACGATTATGTTGGTGAGCAGTCCATTGATCTTGCGGGAGACGAGGGTACATGCCAAACTTCTGATAGTCTTTCAACTTAACGCATCTGCTACCACGTTAGCTTTGCCTAGATGGTGATGGATCTTTATATCGTAGTCTTTCATAAATTCTAGCCATCGTCGTTGCCTCATATTTAGTTTTTTCTGTGTAAATAGATGTTTAAGACTCTTGTGATCAGTGTAAATCTTGCAGGTTACTCCATAGAGATAGTGATGCCAAATTTTGAGGGCAAAGATTACTGCGGCTAATTCTAGGTCGTGGGTCGAGTGGTTTTTCTCGTGAGTCTTTAGTTGATGTGAGGCATATGCAATGACTTTTTTGTTTTTCATAAGAATGCAACCCAAACCATTGTATGAGGCATCACTATAAATTACAAACCCATCTACTCCCGTAGGGAGTGCTAGTATAGGAGCTGACACCAGTCTATTTTTTAACTCTTGGAAGCAATATTCCTATTTGTTAGTCCATTTAAAGGGTGCATTATTCTGAGTTAGCTGGGTCAAGGGTGATGCTATCTTTGAGAAATCTTGCACGTAGCATCGGTACTAGTCTGCTAGATCCAAGAAGCTTCGAATCTCAGACACGGTAGTAGGTTGTAGCCACTCCACGATCATTGCAACTTTTTGGGGCTTATTAATGACGTGACTGAGGAAGTGTACCCTAGTGATCCAAAATTCGCATTTCTTCAACTTGGCATAAAATTTGTGATCACGTAGTGTCGATAGAATTGCTTGCAAGTGGTGCTCATGGTCCTTTGGTGACTTGGAGTATATGAGAATGTCGTTGATGAAGATAATGACGAACTCGTCAAGATAGTGTTTGAACACTCGATTCATGAGCTCCATAAAGCATTACAAGAAAATTGACTTTTTATGGCACCACATCAACGACATACAATAAATGCACGCCGTAGTTTCTCACTTTTACAACTTGCTTTTTTTGCACATCGTAAATACTTTTCCAACCATAGCATGTCTATTGCGTAGGCCGTGAATGGTAATAACGATGATTTTTTTACGGCTTGCAATGTACGCCGTAAATAATAAAACTTTCTACAACGTGCATATGTCGTGCCATTAATACATTAATTATACATGATGCACATATGCTAGCCATAAAAAGTGAATACTTTTCACGATGCACACAACGCCCACCGTTAAAAGTATTACACTTTTTATGATGCACACATCGCCTGCTGCTAAAAGTATTATTTTTTCATGACGCACAATGCATGTCGTGAATTGTATGATAAATAAAAAAAAAAAAAAAGTGCCAAAATGAAATTTGGGGCACCAATATTTTTTTCCCAAAATAACTATTTTGCCTTCAGAATGGAATATCACAAGGCTTTCAATCTCTCTCTATCTGATGATGATGAAGGCCAAATCAATTGCTAGGGTGATCATCTCATCTCTTCTCTTCTCTTCTCTTTGGTTGCTAGGGTTACTGAACCAATCGACTAGTAGGATGTGGCGCCAATGACCAAAAATATATTAGAATTTTTTTTTTTAATCAGAATATATACAAACTGTTTGGCTTCTATTTGGGTTGTAAAAAGAAGATAGAAAGTTGTAAATCGAATAGCCTAGAAGAGAAGGGAGAAGGGGGGTTCGAAAGGGAGACTGGTGTTCCAGCGGCATGAGATTTCGAAGGGGAACGATCGATGGTGGCGTGATCAACGGTTCAGCGAGATTGGTTCGACAACAGCAATACTCGACGATTCGAAACTGGTTCGATGGATCAACGGTTTGACGACGAGACTGCTTCTTCTCTTCTCTTCGGTCTGGAAAAAATCTCAGGTATGTTCAGATTCCCCCCCGTCTCTCTCTCTTCCATACACATATTCACTCAATTTAGGATTAGGACTCTATTCATTCGTGTTCTTGCTTTCTGGTACTTCAAGTACTGAGCTCTCATCATTTTGTAATTCCTAGATCGAACTCTTTTTCTTTTTCTTCACCCTTGGTCCTTCACAGCTCATCCAAGCTTGAATTGGTACTTTTTTAGGGTTTTCAAAACCCTTTTACCTTCAAAGATTCGTATCTGTTTTAGCTTGTGCCTTTTGGTTTCTTGGCTTTTTTTAGCTGCTAATGTACCTGTTTTGTTGTGCTTCATTCTAGTCTTCTCTACCTTCTTTTCACATTTTTTTTTGTCAAGCTCTGTTTGGTTCTCAATTTCTAGCCGTTAGAAGCAACCACACACACACACACACACACACACACACACACACACACACACACATAAAGTTAGGTTTTGCTTTAAAAAGTTCGATATCAATTATTTTAGCTCTGTTTTAGCTTTATTTTCATCTCCATTTTTCTCTTTGAGTTGGGTTTCATCGCAAAATCAAGCAATGCCTTCATTCTCTTGTTCTGTATATTGGGGACTGTTCTTAGTTCGTTCGGTAGACCCTTCCTTTTTTGTGTGTGTGTGTGTGTGTGTGTGTGTAGATACAGCTTGTATTTGAGGTTAGAAAATGCATAATCTTTGATGGAAGATTGAGAAAACTGATTAATGTTTGTTTCTAGCTGAAGATTAGAAATGAAGTTGTTTAGTCTGTTATTAGTAATTGTGATGCTTCTATTTCCTATTTCTGTGAGATCTTTGAATCCATCTCTAAACGATGATGTTCTGGGCTTGATAGCCTTCAAAGCTGACCTTCAAGATCCCAATGCAAAATTAGGTTCTTGGAATGTAGATGATGATAGTCCTTGTAACTGGGTTGCGGTTTTGGTCTTATAGGACGGATAGGCCGAGGCCTACTACAATTGCAGTATCTCCATAAATAGAAGTCGAAGAGTTTTTAATATTGATACTCAAAAAGAAAAGAAAATTCTGAAAGAAGGCGAATAGTATTTCCCAACTAAAATTAACAAAGTGCACACATTCTTATGATAAGTGATATCATACTATAAAACAAAAGAGAGCATAGCTAGATGTCAGTCCATTTTATTAATGTATTTGAAAGAAAAGAATATTATGGTTAGAAACTAGAAGCCACTCAACAAAAAAAAGAGCAATATAAGGGCACATTTCTAATACTTTACTCTAATATTTCATTATTTTTCAATGTGAAATTTAGTAAGAAGTTTGGGACAGTTGTACAAAATCAAATAGCCAGAAAGAACTGCTAAAAAATAAAGTGGAACCAAAACCAAGAAAGCAAGAGCACCTAAATCTCCTGAACATAAAAAGGGGTAGGACAAATCCTCAGAAATCCTTGAATTCCTCTGTTCTATAGACACAGGATTAATGGTCAAAAAGTTAGATTGGAATATCATAGCATTCAATGCTAATGGTGTCACTTGACAACGTACGAGTTTAGATTCATCTTATAGATTTATGGCTGGAGGTTGATGCTAGAACCTTGTTTATTAGAACCAAGAAGGAAGTCATTCAACTACACATTCAGGCTACATGAAGGAAAAGCAAACATGAAGGCATTCAAGGGTGTGTTGACTAACATAAAAAAAAAAAAAATCATATTTAGTGGGGAGAGAGAGTAGTTTACAAAGTTAAACAGAAAAGTATAAAATCATGGAATTGATGGCCAAACAAAAGCTTTTGGATGACCATGACTGAATATTAGCTAAAATGTTATCATTAATAATTGTGGAGAAGTGGCTTGGAGATACTCTTCTGATCCTGGGGGATGCTCGTGATCCGCTGATAGTCACCTGAATAGGAATAAACACTCCGGTCGGGGGTGTCGGAATTAGCACTTCGACGGACAAGTCAGTCTCAACACTCAAGATTACTTATATTCTAAATTAAGCACAACAATTCTCACCTGCCACTCTCTGATGGATGATCCCATATTTATAGTATTTTCTTTGGGCCTTTGGGCTGGGCCTATCATTGTTCCGTCATATGTACCTCTACTCGGTGTCAGTTCTATTGGCTGGGATACTGGTTATTTTATTCAGCTCCTTAACTGGCTAGGGTATATGTTGAATACAGGTTACGTTTTAGACCGGACACGCTCATCCGTCCCTATGGATCTAATAAAATCTAGCTCCCACAATTACCCCCCAAACACTCTGCTATCATCAGTTAGTCGGCGTGTTTGGCTTTTAGCCTGAGAAGTCAAAAATTCGGCGGTTAACCCTCTTCCCAATGCGTGTCAGAATGCGCACACGCTTCTTAGTCATCGTAACACTTTCCCGCCCCTTCGTACACTGCTTCCATTTAATATGATTTGAAATTGCCTCTTCGAGTGTATGTCCTGAATGTTCAAAAGATATCTTGCTCGCCCTCCAGTGCAACTCTATCTCTTCGCGGCTTCTACAACTCGTTTCTCGCTTTATCTCCTGTAAGTCTTCTTCTCCTTCATTTTTGATCTCGCTTCCTTATTGGCTTTTAACTTTCAGTAAACCTTGGGTTTGGCTTAAAAAGAATGGCAAAACATCTGAAAGAGCTCCTTTCGGCAGATCGAATCTCCGGCTTTCGACGCCACTTCTCCATCCCTGATGACGTCCATTTGTCACTTTTGGCAGACAACATCACTGATATGCAGAGGGAAAATGAGAGCACAATCGTCTTTCCTCTCTTATCAATTGCTGAGGGCGGAGTCCGCTTTCCTCTTCACCCATTTTTGAGGGCCGTTCTTAGATACTGGGGTCTGATCCCTTCCCAACCCAACGTCAATTTCTTTCGTATCATAATGGGGATCGTAGAACTAAATCGTCTTTTTAGGACCAATTTAGGTATTCCTGCCATTCGGCACTGTTACGCCCTTGCCAAATCTACTGGCCGGCTAGGGCGCTACTTTCTTAGAGCTAAGGATACTGATCATCACTTAGTGACTACCAGCTTTGGCAAGCGTGTCGACGACGTAATGGTCGTTGTCCGCGGCAACTGGGAGTTTGGTGAAAGCGAAGATCGTCTAGACTCGGTGCCGAGGAAAAAAGGTGAACCAGGTGGCCGATTAGATCACTTTGGTCTTCATATTTGCATGTATATGTATTCAGCACTATGTTCATCTTATCGTTTTGTTTGTGCAGGCAGCGATTTGAAGAAAGTGTTGGTTTCAGACGACGACGTCGTGTTCGCAGAAATCACAATTGCACTATAGTTTGTTGGCCGTCCAAACCTTCGAAAAAAAGAGAGGGCAGCCCACATTCTCCTGTGGTACGAGCCGACTTACACAACGTTCTTGGCGGCAGACAACATTCTGATCGCGCAAGGCAACGATTAACTTGCTGCCCTCATCTTCCCCAGCTTCAAAAACTTGAGGCAGATCGGTTTAGAGTCATCTGATTCTGAATACGTGGAAGAACAAGTGGCCGAACAAATCGCTGAGGATTTGGACCGGTTAGCCGCGGAAGTTGACGAAGCGATTAATTCGGCCTTTGAGGAAGCCGGATTGAACTATTCTGACCCTCCATCTACATCAGGCCGAGGGGACGCCTTTGAAGATATTTTTTCGAACTTGGGAGACCTTCTCGGCGATTACTCTAAAGATATGGCTGGGGAAAATCTTACGCAAATGGCTCGGAAGAGGAACGCCGAACGCATGGCTGCCCGAAAAAAGGCCGAGGCCATCCGTTTTGGATTTGTCCCGACTGAATCTGTTCAACCTACTGTTGTAGAGGAATCGGCCTAGGTTGTCGTCGTCAAGACAGAAAAGGATGTCGAGCACCCGATTATAGAAGAGCTACTGATTTCGGAGGATCGAGGCGAAAAAAGAAGCGCCGAGGACAAGGGCGGCTCCGAAGACGGCCCTGTTGATAAGCGGCCACGCTTAGAGGAGTCGACTGTGGTTGCTCCTTTCATCATTGAACCAAAGATAAAAAACATGCCGATCTCCTCTGAAGTGTCGGCTTTGAAAGATCCAGCTGTGGCATTGAGCTTGGCTGCCGTGGTCTCCTTGCCAGCTGACATGGCGAGCTTTCGTGCCGAGCCGAACTTGGCAACGGTAGCATTAGCTGCTCAGTCGACCTTTTTGGTAATGTTTATCCTTGGAATGTGATGATCTTTTGGTTTGCATTCGATGTTTCTTGGAATGTGACGATCCTTTGTTTTGCAGACAATAGGAAGGATCGCCGAATTAGGCCGACGCCAGCGTGACGCTATTGAAAGGATTGGCCGTTTGCAATCCGAAGTTGATGGCCAAAGGAGCAGGGCAGAGTTTGAGGCAATGAGGGCTGCAATGGAAAGTGCACGGGCAGAGGCTGAGAAGGAAAGGGCCAAGATTGCTGATCAACTCAGGTCTAACACCAAGGAGAGGGCAAACGCGAGCGAGGAATCACTCAAGTTAGCCAAGGAGGCGCTTGCAAAACTGGAGGCCGAGTTGGAAGGGTTGAAGCAGGCCAAGGAAAAAGTCGAATTTGAGGCTTCTGCGGCGTTCGAGGCTGGGAAGAGCGCCGCTTTTAATGACTACGTAGAAGGAGTCCCCAAATTTGAGAATTGGGGATTCAGACATGGCTGGCTCAAAGCCCTTGCTGCCGCTGGAGTTACATTGGCCATGCCAATTCCATACAAGCAAGTGGACGTTGAGCCGCTTGAGTCTGATCTTGAGACTTGATTTGGGTGACATTCTAGTTTTGTTAGGCTTTACTCAATTGCAATGTATGCTTTTTGTTAGTTGACTTCCGTCTTTTTTGGATTTTCATATGTAAAATGTTCACTGCTAGCGCCCAATTTATGAATGAAAATTTTATATGCTCTCAAATTATTTCTCGTATTGTTTGCTGTATGAGTATATAGTTAAGAGAATCAGCAGTTAGGACAAAATGTCAAGCTTACGTAAGACGGCAGACTTAATCAGCTGATTAAAATTAGGGATCTGATTTAATCA